TAGGGCGGCCTGAGCAGCCTGCCTGACTTGAGTCCGGGCAGCAGTCCCTTTTGCGTGAGGCGCGTTCCCGGGCGCCAGAGGCTTGCCGGTGCGTGGCGCCGCCGTTCGATCCGCTCCAGAGTGCGGTGAGGTGGAGCGGGCCGGTACTGTCCTGCTTTTGTGTTCCTAACATTCCCACTCCCCCCGCCCCTGTTGACGCGAAGGCAGCTGAGGCCGAGCGGCTCTTGCAGCGCTGCTCGCGGATTAACCAGACTGACTGAATGGTGTAAGGGTAAACAGGGTACGTTTTATTCAGATGCTTCTGGAACGTCGAAATTCTCTTCTTTGGAAAGAACCCTCCCCTCTCTGGGCTTCAGGGGCCCAGACTGAGGCGCAATGATGAGAGGATGTGGTGGTCCACTCTGATGTCAATCTTGAGGGCTAGGTATGTCCCAACATCTCTTATTACTACTACTAATTATTATAATAGCTATCATTTGTCGGGTATTTATTGCATGCCAGGCATTGTTACAAAAGAGATGACATCCATGGTGTCATTTAATCTTCAAAAACAACCTTATGAGGTAGGCACTATTATTACCCCCATTTTCCAGGTGAAGACATTTAGACTGGCTTATAAATAACTTGGGAACACACGGCTAGAAAGTGTTGGGAAGGGCATTCAAGCTGTGATAATCTGCACCATTATGCTCTTACGTCTATTTAGAAGTCTGTCTTTCATAAATTTGCCCAGCCTCTCTTTAAATTCATTTGCATTTTCTGCTGGTGTGGCCTCTTGATTCATCTTTTAGTATATGAATGCTACAAATTCGTCCTAAAAAATAATCAAAATTCACACAAGCGAAAATTCACACCAGCTCCCACTGTGTTAAATAAACAGTTAACATTTTGGTATACTCTTCCAGACATTTTCCTATGCATCGTGTCAATAGATCTATTATAGTGTACTTTAATTTTGATGTATCCTGAAAATCTAGGCATTTAGTCAACAAATATTTAATAAGCAGACCCTGTTCTAGGTGCTGAGAACTCAGCAGCGAACAAAATAGTCTCTGCCTTATATAATAGTGGGGGAGATTGACAAGAAACAATATACATATTACTAAAGAACAGGTAGTGCCTGGTAATGTGGCAAGTTTTATGGGAAAAAAATAAATCAGAATAAAGGGATAAGAGTGATGTGGGCACGGTCTTTTAGATGAGGTAGACAAGGAAGGCCTCTTAACTGAAAGAGCACATAAGTAGAAACCTAATCATTAAGGGAGGCAGTACATGGATTTCCAGAGGGAAACTAGAAGAGAAGCAGCAATTGCAATGGCCCTGAGATAGGGACTTGCTTGGCCTGTTGGAGAAGCAGCAAAGAGACCAGTGTGGCTGCAGCACAGCAAATTAGAGAAATAAGTTGCGAAACAGGCAGAAACCAGATCATGCATCATCTCGTAAGCCATGGTTGGACTTTGGATTTTGGGGGGATGTGGTAGAGTACCATGCAAGGGTTGAGAGCAAAGGAGTAATCGGAATTTTTTTTGGGGGGGAGACTTCTTTTTAGGGTTTAACAATTTGGAAAACTTATTTTGCCAAGCAATGTGGATTCGAATTTTATGTATTTTAGAGCAGTTTCTTTGCAGAGATGGCTCATGAATGACTCCTTGGTGTGTGGTGGGGGAGGTAATCAGATTTATTTTAAAAGGATCAGTCTGGCAGCTGTGTGGAGAATAAGATGGTAGAAACATTAAAGTTACTCTTTAAAGCATTAATTATCCTTTTATACAGCCATCATTCAACAGTTAATCAACATTGGTGTTTCACCTACACCTTTACACCTCGGCAACCACTCATCTCCACAAAGAGGAGATAGGGTCAGACACTTGAGGACTTATCTTCATGTCTTTCTCACCTAAAGTGAAGTTTTTTGAGACTGGCTAGATCTCCATATATCCAGATCTGGATGTCATGATTGTCAACAAATTGAATATGAGTCATCAGTGTTGTACTATTGTGGAAAAAACAATCCCACATTAACACTGGGATCTATTCGTTAAAAACATAGCATTCAAGCACCTGAAAATTACCCTCTGCTTCAATTGATGTTAGGCCCTCATTAGAATTCTTAGCCCCAATTTAGTCATTGTGCTTAAGATGTGGAAAAATTAAAATGCACAGTGAAAGAAAGGGTAACACTGTTGAAGGCAGTGCTTTTCTGGGTTTTTGCCTTTAGCAATGTAATGGATAGTAGCATCAATTGTAAAACCAGCTGCAGGAATAACAGATTTGAAGGAGAAATTAAAAGTTCTGTTTTGGATTTGTGTTTTGCAATCTGAGTGGAAATGATATATATAAGATATATATTAGAGCTCAGAGGTGTATAACTGTATCAAAATTGTTTCTTTGGATGTGTGTCTTCTTTAGACAGAGCTTGAAGACAGACACTATGTCTTTTCTTCTTTGTAACTTCTGTGCCCATAAGTGCATCCTGGACAAATATTTGTGAAATGAGCAAGTAAAGGCAAAGGTATGGATGAAGTCACTCGGGCAAAATATATAAAGTAAAAAGAGAAGAGATACCTGCTTTCACTGGAGGTCCAAGTACCTGAACATGATTTATAAATAGGGTGACCTGGGGCGCCTGGGTGGCTCAGTCATTAAGCGTCTGCCTTCGGCTCAGGTCATGATCCCAGGGTCCTGGGATCAAGCCCCACATCAGGCTCCCTGCAGGAAGCCTGCTTCTCCCTCTGCCTGCCGCTTCCACTGCTTGTGCTGGGGAAGCTTAACCGAATGAGCCACGCAGGCATTCCCCAAGCCCTTCCATTCTTAACGGAGGAGGTTGGCCTTTGAACTTGAAACCCAGCAGGGAAAATTGTATCCTACTGCCAGGGTCTGTAATGTAGCTGCCATTGACTGAGTCCAGAATATGCGAACAGGTCCTCTTCAACTGTAAAGCTGCTGTGTTTAGAATCAGAAGTGTAGTTTCTGAGTTCCCTCCCTATGGAAATGATTCTTTATCATTTCTAGTTACTTGTCCTGAGTGCTGAGTTTATAAACTTTATCTCATCTAATACTTATATTTTTTCTAAGTGAGGTGGTTCTTTGTAGTCTGGTATACAAATAGATAAAAACAGAAAGTCTAGAAGTCTATGCTTTCTTCTGGGTTTCAACTTCCTCTCTAAGCTCTGAGGTATACCTAGTACATGTAAGTTAGCCAGAGATTTAGGTCCTGGAGCAGAGTCCTTTGCCAATTACAAGGGCTCTTCAAGGCAAGGGATCTTCCTGTGACACACTCAGAAGAGAGGGTTTCACCCCACAAAAGGCGGGAGCCTCAAGGATTACAGCTCTTAGCTCTCAGCAATGTGAGTTCACACACACTAAGTCACTTTCCCAGAAGCACAGGCTCCCCTGTGGCCTAGTTCAGGACTGGTTCTAGCCTCCTCAGGCTCTGCTGTGGAGTCTTGCATTCAGGAGCATTGCCTTCCTCCTTCCTGCGCCTTTACTCCACCTTCTATCTTTCTCTCTTTGTGACCACCCTCATCAGAGGAGTTAAGGAATCAATCCTTTTCTTTCCAGAAGGTTCCTAGACTGCTTATTTAACTTGATCCACCTCAACTGTGACCAGTCTGCAGAGGAAAGGTGGAAGCAGTCCTAATCTATTTACAGAAATATAAGGTCTATATAGACATTTCTCCACATGGTGGCATGTCTGGGTTGCTTCTGCATTAAGGAAGAGGGCCCTAAAGATCTCAGAGGTGAACAAGAGGGAAAAAATTTTTTTGCTAAAGGGCCCTGCTGCATCCTACATTACAAATAAGGGAAAATAAGGCTCAGAAAAGGAAAACCACTTGCCCAAAGTCATTTAGTTACTAGGTAGCACAGCCAGGATGAAAGCCAAATCTGGCCAAATGTTACTAATAAACTACCTCTGACTCTTTAAAACTGAAGAGTTAGCAGGTATCAGGATTTTCATAATGCCATAGCCATTAAGGAGAGTGTCTGTGAATCTAGGCTTTTGCTACCCATCTGTTTTGCCTCTTCCTCACCATCCTGACTTCTTTTTGATCTATGTAAAGTGCAGAGTATCTGTCTCGTGAGTCACCAGGCTTTGGGTAGAATCCAAAAAGTTAGGTGAACTAGGAATGTATTGTTGCTGAGTAACTTCTGTTTATCCGAAAAATTTACTACCCTTTACCACTTGCAAGTATTTAAGCAAGTTATTATCTTTCTGTGCCTTTTTTCTCCTCGTGTGTAAAATGAAAATTATAATACCTAATTCATAAGAGTTTTGTAAGGATATGACTATATATATAAAATACCTAGTTCATGGTGGGATTCAAATAAATTATAATTGTGATTCTAATTCTAGAAGTGCTCCATAGGATGACCCTGGGGCTTGTTTAGAAGTTGTAGGAGGCTAGGTTAGCCAGTGCTCAACATTAGAATTTTTTCATTATTTGAATCCTATCTACCTACTAGAAACCTGTTTCCAGAACACTGAGCAATTAAATAGAATTTCTTTTGCTGCTTGCTTCTTTAGCACCTTACTATACATAAGTAAGGGAGTGTACTTTATCTCCTAGGTCACAGAACAAATGCATAATTGCCATCAAGGATGGATAATCCAGCTTTACCTCTAGTGCAGAACAAACTCAGGAGCTGTGTCCCATTTACTTAATGTAAATAGTGAACAGACTTAGGCATTGTGAGCAATTAACTATAAGATTGTTCCTTAGAGTACAGAATGAATACTTTCCTATTATAATCAAATAAAACTTACAACGAGGTTAATCTGATGCATATTTAATGATAGATGTAATTGTTATTGTGCTGCATGATAATTAGGCCTTAAATGTTAAGCTGTTTCCATAAATGACTGTAATTGGTTATTTTTACACAGCAAAACACATTTTTTAGTGTTTGTCCACTCACTTTATTAATTTCCTAGAATCTATAATCATACCAAGGACAACAGTTTTCCCTGAGTCTTTACTGTTTAATCATGCATTCACACAAACACACTTTCAAAATGACACAGCAGGGTTCTCATCCTAATTTGGTACTAAAAGTAACTATTGTTCAAGGCTTTTTATATATGTATCTTTTCTCATTTTAGTCCTTAAAAACCCATTAAGGGAGGTGTTGTCACTCCCATTTTACTGATGCAGAAACTGATGCTCAGAGAATGTAAACAGGTAGCATAGTAGAGATTCAAACTTCTATCTCCAACTTGTAACCACTACTTTATACAACCTCAGAAGATGATGGATCCCAGCCAAGATATGTCAAGATTTTCAGGAAGTGGACTGGCTCCTGGGAAATACCAAATATGTATAGTATATCCAAAGGGAGAATGAGTCATCCTGAAAGAGGGAGGCATTAGTAATGGAAGTTTGAAGCCTATGGAAGCTGACTTTCTCAGTGCCCATTCAAGAAAAA